TAATGAAGGCACGCGAGGAGTTCCGGGCGGTGGCCAAACGAGGATCAATCCTCTACTTTCTGATTGTCGAAATGAGCAACGTGAATGCCATGTACCAGAATTCGCTAAAGCAATTCCTCGTCATCTTTAACTGTTCGATCACCAAGTCGACAAAGTCCAGCGTCACGGAGGAACGCATCAACATTATCCTGCGGTACCTCACCTACGAGGTCTACAAGTTCACCAATCGCAGTCTCTATGAGCGGCACAAGCAACTGTTTACTTTGATGTTGGCCATAAAGATCGACTATCACAATGATAACATTAGCCACGAAGAGTTCTTGACATTCATCAAGGGCGGTGCCTCACTGGATCTGAATGCCGTCACCCCAAAGCCCTTCCGCTGGATCCTGGACATTACCTGGCTCAACCTTGTGGAGATCAGCAAGTTGGAAACCTTTTCCACAGTTCTGCAGGTGATCGAACTGAATGAGCGCGACTGGCGCTCTTGGTACGAGTGTGAGAAGCCAGAGTATGAGGAGATCCCCTGTGGCTATAATGCACTTTTGGACAGCTTTCGAAAATTGTTACTTATTCGCTCGTGGTGCCCCGACCGAACCATATCCCAGGCCAAGAAGTACATAGAAGGTGTGTTTCTACAGAAAGTAGGATAAGTGTAAATATTTTATTGTATGTTTTTCGTGTACAGAATCCCTGGGAGGCGAGTATAGTGAGATGCAAATTCTAGATTTGGAGGAAATGTGGCTGGAGTCGGAGCCGCGCACCCCCTTTGTCTGTCTTCTATCGATAGGATCCGATCCAACCACACAAATTGGGGCCTTGGCCAAGCAGAAGACCATAAGTAAGTGCCTCGAATGTTCTTCTAACTAACTCTCTTCTAATAAACTCTCTGGGAGTAGCACTAAAATGTGTGTCGATGGGACAGGGACAGGAGTATCATGCGCGGAAAATGATTATGGAATCAATGTCCAGTGGCGGCTGGGTTCTGCTCCAGAACGTGCATCTCTCGCTGCCCTTTTGCACTGAGATTATCGACATGCTGGTGGAGACAGAGCATATCGACGAGTCCTTCCGCATGTGGGTCACCACTGAGCCGCACAACGAGTTTCCAATTGGATTGCTACAAATGGCTCTCAAGTTCACAAATGAACCACCCCAGGGGATACGTGCCAGTCTAAAGCGCAGCTACCAGGTGCGGCGTGGCAGCATGAATTCCCTAAGCACACTTAATTATTAATTTTCAATCTTTTTGCGAGAGGCAGTCGTTCACACAGGACTTCCTTGATTACACCTCAGCCTCGCAGTGGCCGCCATTGCTGTACACAGTTGCTTTTCTGCACACCATCGTCCAGGAGCGACGAAAGTTCGGCCCACTGGGCTGGAACATACCCTACGAGTTCAATCAGGCCGACTTCGCAGCCAGCGTGCAGTTTGTTCAGAATCATCTAGACGAAATGGACCCCAAGAAAGGTGTCTCCTGGCAGACGCTGGTCTATATGATTGGGGAAGTGCAGTATGGTGGACGTGTGACAGATGATTTCGATAAACGCTTGCTCACGACCTTCACCGCGGTCTGGTTCTGCGAGCAACTGCTGTCAAACTCCTTTGAGTTCTACAAGGGCTACAAGGTGCCGGGCACAAAGAGCCTTCAGGGCTTTATCGATTACATAAACAGTTTGCCGGCATACGATACCCCAGAGGTATTTGGCTTGCATTCGAATGCCGACATCACGTATCAGATAAATTCAGCGAAAGGTATGAGTATTTGTTTGCATCGCTTCATAATTAAAACAGAAATAAATGTAACAAAAACACGTGCACATAATCCGCCGTGACCCCGGGAAGATCTGTAACCAACCGGTAAAATCAATAACCAAAAACGCGTGGTTTATAGTTTTACCAGGTATTATCACTGATATAATGGCACATAATGCCATTCCATTTAATTTTATGTAAAGCCCCCCACTGTTGCATAAACAGTTGCCCATAAACACACTCTGTGTGGCGGCTTCCAATCAATACAATTTGTAATTTAGGAGCAGTGAACGTGAATGAAATCAAATCGGTTGCCAAACCCACTCGGCCATTAGCACATTAGCATATCCCCAGCTAGCCCCAAAGTCCTTTTTTGTGTCTGTTTCTGTGTTCGTTTCTGATTCTCATTCTGATTCTGATTCGCAGGCATCCTGGACACTATACTGAGCGTACAGCCAAAGGAGGGTGGCGGCGGCGGAGGCGAAACAAGGGAAAGTATTGTCTACCAATTGGCCGATGATATGCTACGCAAGCTTCCAGCCCAATACAACGCCTACGAAGTGCGTGAGAATCTTAATCGAATGGGAATCTTGTTACCAATGAACATTTTCCTAAGGTAAAGCCAACTTTTCCAGCTGGCCAGTAGTTTGGAATTAATTTATATTTATTGCTTAATGTTACAGACAAGAAATCGATCGCATGCAGAGAGTTATTAAGCGAGTCCACACTTGCCTTTGTGATCTTAAGCTAGCCATTGATGGCACCATTGTAATGAGTCCCGCCCTGAAGGAATCCCTGGATGCCATGTACGATGCTCGCATACCAGAGACCTGGATGAAGGTATGTATCCGTAAATAAAAAAATAGATTCAATTGGCAAGAAATGATAAGAGACTGCTGATTTTGTTGGCCCTTCACCTTCACTTTGAGTTAGCGTTCAGTTGTAATTATGCGTATGAACGTTTGACGCGTCTCAAGGCTTTGCCCTTTTATGTTTCACACCAACATTCCACAGACCACAAGGGGATGACATCACGTCAGGTGGAAAAGGGTAGGAGACGCCGTGTTCGTGTAGATGAATGTAACAGGCAAAACGGCCCGTGGGCGTTCTCCAATTGAAAGGGAATCAATGGGAAATTGAGTCTGAAATGGGCAGGTGTTGAATCTTAATTCCTTGGTTCCTTTTTTTGTTCCTTTCAAATACAGCTTATGGATCTAGTAAGCACTGCCCAAAGCAAGAATAATATTAAAGCATACACCAAAAATAGAGTTCGGCCCCGAACACTTTATCTAAGCAAATATTTTATTTTCGAAACAATGAAGAAAGCTATTACGAGTGCTACGCACAATAATCGGAATGTTTTTCTAACCAAAACTGCCGAATTCGACCAACAAAACGTGGAGGATACTTCGTATTTGCCACTCGGACACCGCCAGTATGGCTTCATTAAGGCCAACAAGACGAGCACACCGTTCCCCTCAACCCACTCGTTGGACCCAAGCCTCCTGGACAACAAGCTGAAGAACATTTATGAGAAACCCAAACATTATAATACCATTTCTGATTCGGAAACATCATCTATTTCGGATATCGTTGAACAGCCAGTATGGGCCAATACAAATGATGCCATTTCTGAGAGGGAGTTACCCTTTGAGCTGAAGAGGAAACTCTTTGATGAAGCCGAATTCACGGTGACACGGGGCCTGAAGCTGAGCGATCTGCACCATCCTGAAATAGATGTCTCCAATATGCCGAGGTCCTTTAACCACGATGCGAAGAAGCTTTCGTTCAAGGAAATGGAGGCCTTCTGCCGCCACATGAACTTTAAGATAACCAAGGGCTTTGATGCGGCCTTCCATTAAAACATAATTCTGTTTTATTTAGTCTACTTTTTGCATAAATAATGGCGCAATAAAAACTCGTTCGCATTGAGCAAAAACGCCCACCCTGGCCCTGGCCGCTCTTGTGTGTGCCTTTGAATCTTGCCTACCAGATAATGTCTCTTGTCAATGTCACTTACAGATATCCTGGGAGTCCACAACTCTGGGCTTTTGGTACACAGAGTTACTCGAGCGCAACGGACAGTTTCGGACTTGGATATCAACGGATCGTCCGAAGGTAAGTGCCAGGCTACACCTCTTCTCTCTGCGAAGTGTACTGCACAGAGTAAGGAGACACTTAAATGTATTTAAACAGGTCTTTTGGATGACTGGCTTTTTTAATCCACAAGGATTCTTGACTGCAATGCGACAAGTAAGTAGAACCAATTGAATTTCTATCTGCTTATCAACTTTGTCTGCATCATCCATCCTAGGAAGTAACGCGAGCACACAAGGGCTGGGCACTGGACTCGGTTGTGCTACAGAACCAAATAACGCGCTACAATCGAGAAGACATCACAGAGTATCCAACGGAAGGAGTGTACGTCCATGGATTGTTTCTTGAAGGTAACTGTTGACATTAAAAACGTGTCCTATATGAGAGCCTTGTACTCGTATTGTAGGCGCCTCATTGGATCGACGAAGTGGAAAGCTGATGGAGTCCAGAATGAAGGTCCTGTATGAACAGATGCCCGTCATTTACATCTACGCCATAAACACCACAGCTGGAAAAGATCCCAAATTGTACGAGTGTCCCATTTATCGAAAACCACAGCGAACGGACTTAAAGTATGTGGGCTCAATTGATTTCGAGACGGAATTTAATCCCAAACACTGGACACTGCGTGGCGTGGCCCTTCTCTGCGACATCAAGTAGGGGCGTAAACCCAAGCCGAAAGTCATTTTTTTGCCGGTGCCCGTGCCTTTGTTTGCCATCATGTCAAATTCTGTGCTAGCTGGAGAGAGAAAGTGTACGTGAGTGGGGCTTCTAATGGCAAAGTGATAATTATCTTCTGTTTTTGGGTGAACGTTCAAGTTTCGTGTAATCTAGCGACTAGCGCAAATACAACAACATTAATTGGACCCTCGGGTGAGGACTCAGTGGAAACACGGTGTGTGTGTTGCACAATTATTAGCTTGTAAAGCCATTTGTTGAACAACAATATAGAGAAGTTTTCAAGTCACAATGTTACCGGCTAGCGAGAGGGAGAGTTAACAAAATAAATGTAGAAATAAATATAAAGAATTTGTGTGTAATGTTTCTTTTTAAATAATCGTCTTTTCAATGCCTCATGGTTTTTATTTTAATTTTTAGTTTTTTTTAATGTAATACGCACATTTGTTGTTTATATAATATATGTATGTATATATAGATTCGATTTTTTTGTCACTATTTAAGCTTTGTTTCAAAACTTGCTTTTATTTACATTCACTTCACATACAATATTTGTATAAATGAAAAAGTAATTTGTTAATTATTACTCGAAGTTTGTATTTTGTATTCAATGTACAGAACAAAAAAACAATTCCTTGTTAATTTTCACTCTGGTGGCATATTATATACTCGTATGTATTTATGAATCGAAGAAGTAGGTGCTTGAGTAATATTTGTATTTTCTACTTTAAAATCGGTATTTGTGTTCGCTTCCAAAGTGGATCTAGAGTCTAGAGGAGTTGGAACCATTTTTGTTGACTTTAAAAGTTAACTACGTAATTTCAATAGTGATCAAAAGTGTATGCTTAACAAAAAGAGTGTCCAAAAGAGTCCATCAAGTACGATTATTAATTATTTGAGCATCCGTTACACAAAGACAGGAACAGGAATAGGAAATACAAATACTCGAAAAACTTAACAACAAATATAGTCCGCCCGCGGAGTGCGTAATACAAAAAAACAATAAGTAATAATTTGCAAAACATTCAAAAACAATGATCACTATCAATTACGCTTTAATAAAATGCATTTTGTTTTGGATTGTGTTATTAATTGTATAGGTAATATAGTTTGCAGCTTTGGTTTAGATTTGGAATCAATCAAAGAAGGAATTTGGTTTTTTTTGTTCAACAGTATCTGTGAGAGAGGTAGTATAAATCGTTAGTTAATTTCAATTTGAATAAAATACAAAACTTGAATACATCTAGCCACATTGAAAAGGATTGGTAATTGGTAATCGAAGGATTTGAGTGGAGTTTAGTGGAGTCGATTGAACTTGTATTGGATGTGGAATATGCGCACACACAACATGCCTGTCTTGTAGCCAGCCATTTAGGAACCGTCAATGTACATTTCTATGCATTTCTATGTATTACATCTAACCATTTTTTTGTGCATGTATAACCGTATACCGTTTATCGTAGTCTGTTTATGTAATCTGTAATTGCATCTCCATTTTTAGCCACTTAAATATCATTATAGCGCTTTTTTTGCGGCAGATAGCGATAGAGAAAGTTCCAGGGAAGATATTCAATTGTATTGTCCACACCTGCAGCTAGTCCATTCGGTTCCAAGTTGGTTTTGTCCTCCATCCTGCTCTCCTCCTCCGGGTTGTCGTACTCGTTGTCATCATCGGCATTGTCGTCCACGTCCGTGTCTGCCACATATATAGTTGCGTTTTTGCTGGCCATCGCAGCATTTCTACTGCCATGATTTTCATGATATTTTTCATTTGCAACTTCATTTCCGTTGGCTTGATGCCTCCCCACCACACTCATGGCCAGACCTTGACCAGCACCAGCACTAGCACTAGCACCGCTTAGAGATTTTTTAGCATAGTTGAATAACTTTTGAACTCGTGTCTTCTGCCTCTGACTCTGACTCGGTGTGGTGTCTGGGGCCTGTGTCATCGCATAGTTCCACTGGAGTGGACTGGCGAAATTGGTCCAGTGCAGCTGCTGCTGCTGCTGCTTACGCTTGTTGCTCTGTGACTCTTCTCTGGCCAACTCCCTCCCAGCCAACGTGAAGTGCTGTGAGTAAGGTCTGGATATCATTGCCCCTGCCGCCGCTGGATTTAGGTAAACTCGTTTACCCACGTTCTTCAGAATGGCCCGATTCAATTCAACCTGTGTGCAAGCGCAAAGAAAGTTATACGGTTGACATTAAAAGATTTGGTGGAAAACTACTACAGCGATTGCATACGGAGCAATATCCCCCTACACTCATATGTACACATGTGGATGGATGGATGAGCTTAAATGGCAAAAGTTATTTAATTATTTGCCAGAGTCTCTAATGCAGTTAGTTGAGTTTTACTCTTCGATTTTCACCGTTTCATGTATTACAAGAGTCCATTGCCCATGAATCCCAGGACGTCGTTATCTATGCCTTATTTATTTCGAAATCTATGCCATAAATGTACCCTTGGACAACTCAATATAAGTATTTTTGTCAGTGGAGAGAGAGAGAGAGGGGGACATGAAGCGAACAATTTGGTTAAACGCTCGACGAATAACCCTTTCTTCCCGTCACTGGCTTTCGTTTCGGCGAAAGGTGAACCTACCTACCATCAAGGCAAATCGCTTGAATTCTTCGCATTAAAACGTTTTGATTTTTTGTTGTTGTCTTTTATATTGTGCCTTGGGGATGAAATCGTTTGGTAACCAAATAAACGCCCGCCCGCTTTGTTGCGAAGAAAAATATTTGTTTTACACATACGCAGTGGCAGGTTTTGGGCTTTGGGTGCTGCCTGCTAGGCCGACTCTTTATACTATGTATACATACCCATATAGCCCATATTGAATGTCAGGTCGAGCTTATATGCATAAGTAAGTATGACATATCATGCTCAATTTCGACTGCTAAAACTCTCGCTTTTTTCAATAATATGCTCCAATGATATGGGAGCATAAAATAAACGGCAAGGGAAAACTTGTCAGGTACAATAAGTACTTTTATATATTTGTACTTTTATTTGTGTATTGCAGTTGTTTCTTCTTTGCGTTTCTTAAGGTATTAAAAAACTTTTGTGCAGCTGCTTTCTTTATGGCTTTTTCAAAATATTTCTCATTTAACATTCTAGTTTTGATTAGGACCCCAACGCCATATTTTTATTTATACCTAGCGCCACATTCAATTACTCTTAAGCAACTTTTTCTTGCTACCTAGGGAAAAGTTTGTGTGTTTTTTTTGTTTTGCTTATTAAAAATACCACGCAAAGTGGTCAAACAATGTGGCACTGAGCTGAGCGTATTGCAGCGCTCAATGTGGCAATTGTAGCCCCATAGCCAGACCGTTCCACCATACCATTTATCGCACTTTCTCTCACTCACCTGCCGTGTATTCTCCTTCATTTGCCTGCGCGCTATTTCCAGGAGCAACCTCTGACGCAGGACATCCAAGGGATTGACAATGGACAGGGATGGCTTGTTGCGCTTTGCGAGTAAAAAATCATCCTAGATGAGAAAAGTATATATACAATTACTTGGCGAAAAGTTCTAAAGACATCAAATGAAAACTTGTATAATGGAAATGCCTTGAATATTGCATATTTCACGAGTATTACTATTGCTTTCAAAATATAATGAAGGGATAATGACATCATCAGCAAATCATATGAGTTCTGTGCCTTGATGGATTCTTGTTTTTTGTAAATTATGGAAAACTGTTGTTTTGTTTGGAATCAATTTGTAAAGTCTTATCGTTGTTTTTTTCGGGTTTTTTCCACTTAAAAAACTGTTAGACCAGCCAGACGATAACAGCCCTTTCCTGATAAAAGAACATAAAGAACACAGAATTGCGTGTTGTGTGAGTCAACAAATAAATCAAATTGCGTTTGTTATTGCAGCTCAGAGATGCCTTTAACCAGCGATTTTTCAGAGTTGTAGAATCTTGAGAAACTTTTTCGAATTAAAAATTCAATTTAATTAAAACAAAAATATGAAAATAAAATTACATAGGTATGCATATAGGTATATACATGGATACACATCCATCTAGGCTATCATTTTGACCTATCAGAAAGCACTTGCTACCGATAAGATAAGGTAATGTCCATGTGTGGTGGCAATGATTATGGGACTTTCATATAAGCAAGTGCCAAACGCCGTTACGCTTAGTATATTCTACAACATTGCAAAATGAAGGTTCTTTCGATCTTATTGTTGGCCGCGCTAATGGCAACAGTTTCCGCCAAGCCACATGGTGGCTGGAAGGGAAGTCTCACTGGCCACTGGAGAATCAGCGGAGGAAGTTTGAAGGCCAACGAATGGGAACCCCTTATCGCCCATCATGACAATAGTCACGAAAATTCCAAGGAAGTGTCATCAGAGGAGAGCACTGCTGTGCCGAGCACCACACAATCCCCTTTACAGCCAGAGGATTCCACCACTGACCTACCAGTTGAATCGACACAGGCCCCAGATGAGTCCACAACTGATGCCGGAGAGGAAGACCCTACCACCCAATCTTCTGAAGAGCCTGAGGAATCTACAACTGACTCTGAGGAGGGTAGCGGATCTACGGACGCAAGTACTGATGTTACGGATGACGTAGCGACTACCCAGGTGCCTGATGAAACCACAACTGACTCCGAGGAGGGCAGCGGATCTACGGAAGAAAGCACTGCTGTTACGGACAACGAAGACTCAACCCCCACTGAAGAACCTAAGACATCTTCCTCATCCGAGGAGGGCAGCGGAACCACACTCGAAATTGTCGCAGTCTAAGCTTCCAAGCATGAGTTAAGTAAATGGTTTAGCTAGTGTAGTTCTACGAAATACTACGAGTATATAAATGAACCTCCTATGACAATAATATTTTGCGGAAGTTCCCTATAAATATAGTAATTACAAACTTAACTCAAAGCCGCAGATTTATTTAATTTAACTTTCGAATACAAGAAGAGAGCTCTGCTCCCTTGTCTTCTCCACAAAAACAACAAATACATACATAGGTTATTTGTTCTCCTAAGTACCCCAAAAACTTATTTAAAAGTTCTTTTGATTGTCAACAAGAGTTGTAAAAGCAAGTAAACATTGTGTTGTTCGCCTAATTAGGTGAGGTGGCATGGGCCATGAGGCATAGAAAAATCAAAGTTCCTATTTGTTGTTCATGTTGTCAGGTCAGACGACACAATCAATTTTTCAATGCCAACCTATGGCAATAACTTTGGCCTTATACCTCATAGGTACTTAAATTATTACTTCTTCATTTGATCAACTCATGAAGGACTTAAGTGCTATCAATATTAGATTACAAAACGAATGAGATTACTTGGAATGGATTCTCTTTTATGGCCACTTGACTAAAAACTAATTTGTGAGATTGGTATAAACTTGTGTCTGACACTGCCGACTTAATCGCATAAATTTAGTTATATGAGTGAATAAAAACTACATTAATTGATGACAAAAAGTGACATGCAGCCTTGTTCAAAGCCTGTTTCGAAGAGGTGATTTCGATGCGAGTAATTGAATCCATTCAGAGCAACAACAACAAAAACATTCAAAGGAAACTCTAGGCTATTCAAAACGAAACAGAAAAGAATATATAAGCAATATTCGCACCTGTATGTTCCGTGCATCCAGGTAGTCCAAAGGATATCCGTTTATGTGGCTGTTTCCATCAGGCTGTTCCCCGCTCTGTGCCGTAGCCTGTGCCCCGCCTCCTCTCTGTGCCGTACAAACGAGCCTCGTTGCACACAGTAAAGTTAATAACACCGGACAAAACCACGCTGTGGCTTTCATCATTTCTGGAATAAATGTGACAAAAAAATCTTCAGTCCTCAATAACAGATTTGCAGGTACTCCACCTAAAACAATAAATTGGTGGATATTTTTATGGGAATTGAAATAGGAGCATTAAATTCAGCTGTGAGGTCAGTCAGAACCTTTGACCTATTACTTCCTCCCGCTGGAATAGAATAGAAAAAATTAAACTGCTGACAGCTAACCTGTGAGAAATGTGCATCATATTCTGACAACAAGAAGCGCTCGGTATAATTTATGGGTCACATAAATATGAATACGAGTGCGAGTGCGAGTGCGAGTGCGGTCGGTCCATCCATGCCGAAGGGTCCTTTAAATTTAAGCCGTCAGGGGACTCTTTTTTGGATTGAAATATTTCACAAATATTAAGAGTAAACTATTCTAATATATGCAGAGATACATATGTACATTTGTATATGTGGATGGTTTTCATCTCTTTTAAACCATCTTTTAGCTTCCTCTTTTGTATCGAACAAGGTAGTGGTGTGGGGAGCAGCAAGAGATATTTCACCTGTCAGAAGGAGCATTAGATGCTATAACTACTCGAATGAAGAGTAGCGTTTGCCGTCAAATAAGTATCTATAAGTAAATGTTAAAATGGCAGCAGCATTAGCAGTGCCGGTCGGTAATCACATGTCAAATTTGTATGAGCCATTTCATGGAAAAAGGATTTACGAATTCCACCATCATCTCCCGCACTTTGGCAGTGACGACTATTGGCTGACACCTGGCTACTATTGATTCCTTCTTTAATAGATATCAAAGTGAAATGCTAAAGTTCACGATGTTGGTCTGCAACGAGCGTCCCAAAGGAATCGAGAACGGAGTTTTTCTAATAATACTTATAGCAAGTTATTTGGCACCCACATTCTTCTATTTGAAGTGGAATGAATATTGATTTTGGGACACCCCCCAAATAGTCAGTCGTGTGAGATATTAAACTCCACTCCAGTGTCTCAATGTCCCACTGATAATTGTGCTCTCGTCAGGCATTGTAATATACCACTGTCGGAAACGTGATTGCCTCCAGCTGTGTGCCAGGACGCTTCTTGACTTTATCCGTAAAATAATAAAAATTAAAAAAAAGAAGAAAATATCTCAACAAAAGGAACCAAATTCCTGTCTTATCTTTTTAAACTTTATGTACTAAATAAATACATAGCGTATGTATGTAAATCTACAAATTTATATGCAAATATCTTTAGAACAAAAAAGAGAGAAAAGTTTTGGTTCTTGTTAAACGACAAGGGTGATTGTTCTTTAATGATATTTAAGAACGATAAAGAATACAATTTTTAGCAGGTTTCCGTGGCCCACTTAGTATATGTAGAATAAGCTGCTGGGTCTCCCCAGGTCCTAAGTAAGATGCAGCAATTTATTTCAATTTGAAAATCATTTAACGAAATTCGAATGCTAAAATAAATCTAAAAACTGTGTGCAATTTATGAAGATATTTCGAAAGAAACTTCCACAATTTTTATGTTTTCTGACACTATTTTAAGATTTTGTATCAAGTTTTTTTTTTATCAATTTGTAAAGAACCGAACAGAGCCTTACGTTCAGATCTTAACTCGATGAACAATTAAGAAGAAAATCACCTTTTCAATATTTCTACCCCAAATTTCTTTGTATCTGCAATGCTGCTACACAATTTATTGGATGAGAATAAAGATATATCTTTTCCGAACTTCGAATTTTGTGTATTTTACGATTATATTATGTATTCACGAGCCGCGCCGCGATGGATGCCAAAAGCGTTTTTGGAAACGATGCCTGAAGCTCGGCTGGCGACTAGTATGAACGCAACAGGCTGACGACGAACGGAACACTCAGGCTCCAGAGCATTCACGGCTTGTTTTTATATTGAACACAAAACGAAGCTGCCACACGAAGTGGCAGTGTGTGGCAGGAACGATGTGGCAGAGGAAGGAACCGATGTTGAGCCATGCGGCCGAGTTAGTTATGAATGAACTGAAACGTGCGCCACGCACCTTTTAAGCCACCACCCCTAACCCTAGTGTATATTCATTGTAATAAAATAATGGAGTTATAGAAATCGTGGACAGGAGGGATCTCCATATAGATATTTATTTATATTGCATAAGGTGTGAGTTAAAGTTTGAAATTTAAAGTAATTAGCAAAAGTTTCACCAGCGCAGGCGCCTCACTTGTGGTAAATTGTGGTACTTGTGCAACATGTTGCACAGTATGGTCGTAAATGCTGGAGTAACAGTGTAATTATTGAACTCAATTAATATTTAATGCATTTTATTTACACATTAATTTTTACGCCTGTTCTCTCGTCATGGAAGTTGACAGGGACAGGAACCGGAGCAGGCGCGGAGCCAGTGCTCCACTCAATGTCATGTCGTTCCGATGGCTAACGTTTTCCGACATTCTTGGCCAACGCATTCGCATCGCATTCAGGTGTAAAATTGCTAGCCATAAATCCGTCAAACCCATCCCCGTATGCACTGGGGGAACAGACAGGATTGCTTCTACATACAAATTATTGGTTTTGGAGGCTTGGAAAAGCGAAAGCCGGTTCTAGTTACCCCAATGGTAATGTTCAAGACAACAATGTAGTTGTGTGTGGGATGTGATCTGACTTTTCGTCACACTGGTACGCCTACGAACTTTGACATGGTTTTTAATTGCTGTCAAAACGTGTCTGTGACGTGGTATGTATGATGTGATTTTTGTAATTAAGCACGTAGCCGTAGTCCAAGCCAAACGGCTCTTCCAGCAGGTTTTATAGCTGATTGAATTCTTGGACCTTTTCCTGGGTGTGTCATGGGAGTTTTTAAGTGTCTTTTTTACAAAGCTATACAGACATGTTTACAATTATGTAGTGTTTATCTGTACTCTTGTTAAACCATGAAAAATACAATCAATCAAATCAATCTCTGTCCAAGTTTTAGCCAAAAATGTTCACGAGAAGACCTCTTTAAGCGCAAGCTCATGCACTCCATCCTTTAGAACAATTTCAGGGTTCATTCCTGCCATACACTTCAGCTGCCAAAGACAAAACTCATTAATTTATTTATTAACACAAGGATAAAGCTCAGATCGCCAGCCCCAGTGGGGCAAAATCTTTTGTCTGATTTACGTAATAAGTCAATGACTCAACCAGATTGTACCCTTCCACTCCCACCACCTTTCTAATCGACTTCTAAGCGAGTAAACGGTGGTAAACGGTCATTTAATGAGGAGCCAAGAGCCAAGAGGCAGCCGCTTCAATACATCCAATTATCCTTTACCAAGGCTATCGACATGCAGAGGCTTAACAGGCTTCATCCAATTATACACGTTAATATGCAATAATATCCTGCCAAAGAACCCTAGTGTCTCAGTGTCGGTCGAACCAAGTGATTCATAACTTAAGAAACAATGCAAAATAAATCTCCAGAACGTTCGCAACAACATTTAATTAGCAACATTTTTCGGCTTCCAGTGTTCCAGTCTCTTTTACAACTACAATAAGTTTTTTTGCGGATTAGGGTTGAAGCCTTTCAATTAAATAAAGTTTGAACCAAAGCTGGGGAGGAGGGGGATAACATAAATCAATAAAGAAGTGGAAAAGTTTTCCAAGACCTCTAAGCCCTGGTTGGCGTTTGCGTAACTTTTTGTCTAACTTTGTTGCTGTCAAGGATAAGTAGTAACTTAAGTTAGCCAAAACCTAGTCGAAAGATTAAGCCGGCATTATCAATTATTCCTCCGCATGAAAAATACTCCTTGGTTTTAATTTCTGATTTAAATAGAGAGATTTAAACATTACTAATCGCACTCATCGATATGTATTTATTATTTCCGATAGTTTCCACAAAACAGTGATTTAGTGTTTAAAAATACCTGTGCAGGGAACCGACACGCATATATTGTTCAGACCGCTCTGTTGCGATGCACCAGGGCACTAACCAAATAGTATAATACTGTACCAGGGAGACCATTTAAGGTATATTACTTTCAGGATGTTTTGCTTACGAAATTGAGTTCACTGCATATTTACGGTATATCGGTATATTAAAAATATAATGGTATGTTTAATTAATTTCATCCGTCTATTAAATTCCATTTTTAACGTATATTCAAGAATATAGGGTATCCAACCTTTCATAAGAATGTTTTTCAAATATCCTCGAGGAGTTTCTCTCTTATCCGTAGGTAATTTTCTCTTTCTTTTAAAGGGATATTTCTCTCTAGCAGCATGGGAATTTTCATCGTAGCAATTGAGTCCTTATTCAGCCCCACTTACGTTGAATTCGTAGTTTACCGTTGGCAATATAAATTACACTGCACTCCAACATTTGGCACGGAAATAGTACCCCTATTGGGAATGATATCCCGGAATTGAGGATCATAGGCTCCAATCAATGCAATAAATTATCTATCTTAACGACATTTTGTCGTTAACGACATATCTAGTACATATGCATATACAAAGAAAGTATTTCAAAGGGATAAAAACATGTCAGTTAGAGATAAAGTCACTATTAATGTTTTGAGATCAGCTTTAAAAATGATATTTACATATTAATTCATTTAAATAGGGTATAGAAATACCCATAATATACTATACCCACCGGTTGCGAAGCAAACAATTTTCGCAACGTTGTATGCTTTTTTTTTAATTTTATTTTTAGTTATACCATTAAATTGAAAACATCTAGTGGAGAATTATTTGATACATCGGATAAAGTTATAGTTTTAGCGCTGAGACTCCTACGTTGTAACATCAAACAGAACATAAAATTCGAGATATATGATTTTAGACAACGGTATATTTTTAAAATAAGAAGGTATACTTTGGTATATTTTATCGATAGTTACACTTGAAACTATTGCTGGGAAAACATGGATAGTGACCACCATCGATGGTATCCACTATGGTATTAATACTTTTGCATAATTTTAAACCACTATAAAGCAAATCACAAAAGAGCCTTTTATTTTTTTTGAGAATTGGCCAGATTTATTATTGAGGCTAACTTGGAGTTGTGAATCGAAACACTATGGATTAATTCAGGTCGGGGTAACTCGGTGCCATCGGAAGTCACCTTGAGGAGCAACCTCCTCTGTTCCCAGCCAGCCTTCTGTTGCCTTCTGCACTTACACCTACTTACACATCAATCCATGAATTACATCGTACTTCATTAGATAATTTTTTATACTCTTACACACGACCACACTTTTAACTAAACGGCATATTGTTTAAATTATAAGAACATTTCCATTGCAATACCTTATGCCCTCATCAACAATCATCGACAGCAAAACCGAACATACCCTTTTCAAGAAAATATCGACTGCCCCATGATCGAACTGAATTACCTGGTCAATGCGGATTCATCGTTGTGCTACCATCAAATTCGCTGTAGCGACCATCACTATAGGAAAACAAACATGGCGGATCTGTAAGCAAAAGTAGAAAAATGTAAAATTTCGGTGTTATGTGTATATTTAACAATAAAACATTGCCATTTTTGCCAACCAAAATAAAAATGTTGCCACGTTTTTGAGATATGCTCAATGGGAATACCGAATCGTCGACAACTTGTGTATGTGGAGTGTACTTTTTGGGTGTCGTGTCGCAATGCGCCCAATTGTTATTACGTGACCTCGGAAACGCCGCAAAAGGTAGTTTGCACAAAGACAGAAAGCCGAAGAAAAAAAAAATGCCGTTCAGCATTCGCATCCAACCAAAAAGAAAAAGCGCACCAGAATCAATTTAAATCCAGTAAAGTAACATTTGCTAAAATTGTTTTGCCAATTGCCGCTTAAATACAAGTCAAATATAGATACAAATACCATTGCAAGAGAAACAGAACGGGCATCCATTGAGATGCAAATGTAAAACATCATCCAGGCCCGAGTGAAATTGAAAGACCAAATTAACGAAACGAAATGTCTGGGGGACGCGACAGCAGCACAAGTGGCACCAGCAGTGGTAGCAACTCCACCACAACCGCAGCTGCAGCCACATCTCCTGCGTCATCCCAGAGGCAGCGTGGTCGTCCGGCCAAGAGGGCCACCTGCACCTGGTGCGCCGAGGGGAAGCTGCCTCTGCAGTACGTTTTGCCCACGCAGACGGGGAAGAAGGAGTTCTGTTCGGAGACGTGCATTGCCGAGTTCCGCAAGGCGTACAGCAAAGGCGCATGCAGCCAGTGCGACAATGTGATCAGGGATGGAGCACCCAACAAGGAGTTCTGCTCGATTATGTGCATGAACAAGCATCAGAAGAAAAACTGCTCAACAAGGCATAGTGGTGGCGTTGGGTCGGGCGGGGGAAAGAGTCTACCCGAAAGCGAGCGCAAATTGCTGAGCGGTGGAGCGCCCGCCCCAGCAGGTCCCTTCCAATACGAAAGCTTTCATGTCTTCGACTGGGATGCCTACCTGGAGGTAAGTAATATAAAATATGCATTCTGTTCTTCCATATTAACTATTTGTGTGTGTTTTAGGAAACTGGCAGCGATGCCGCCCCTGCGGAGTGCTTTAAACAGGCCCAGAATCCGCCCGTCAATGATTTCAAGATTGGCATGAAGCTGGAAGCTCTGGATCCACGAAATGTCACCTCCACCTGCATTGCCACAGTCGTGGGTGTTTTAGGATCTCGACTTCGGTTGCGTCTCGATGGCAGTGACTCGCAGAATGATTTTTGGCGCCTGGTAGACTCCACAGAAATCCATGCGATCGGTCACTGCGAGAAGAATGGGGGCATGTTGCAACCACCGCTGGGATTCCGAATGAATGCCTCTAGTTGGCCAGGCTATTTGTGCAAAATCCTCATCAACGCCATGGTGGCTCCAGAGGAAATCT